TAATATTTATTTATTTGTTATGTATACAATATTCTGTTTGTGTGTATGCCTGGAGGCCAGAAGAGGGCACCAGACCTCATTACAGATGGTTGTGAGCCACCATGTGGTTGCTGGGAATTGAACTCAGGACCTTTGGAAGAGCAGGCAATGCTCTTAACCACTGAGCCATCTCTCCAGCCCCAAATTTATTATTATTATTATTATTTATTGAGACTCACTATACCTCTGGCTCTTCTGGAACTCAATATGTAGACTAGAACAGGCTGCTTTTGAACACACAGAGCTCTGCCTTTCTCTGCCTCCTGAGTGATGGGTTAAAGGTGTGCGCCACCATGCCCAGCTGATGGTAAGGGACTAGAGAGGACAAGGGAACCTGCACAACTGGGAAGCAGAGAGAGGAAGAAAGGGGGAGGGGACACTGGAAGGACAGCGGGGAGGAGAAGGAATGAGAACGGAGACTAAGGGCATACAGCTGTCACACTTGCTGGCTGTATGTCACCTTGACACAAGCTAGAGTCATCTGAGAGGAGACAGCCCAGATTGAGAAAAGGCCTCCATAAGATTTGGCTGTATGTGAGGACATCTTGATTAGTAACTGATACGGGAGGCCCAGCCCATTGTGGGTCCTGGGTTCTATAAGAAAGCAGGCCGAGCAAGCCACGGAGAACAAGCCGGCCAGCAACATTCCACCATGATCTCTGCATCCACTCCTGCCCCCAGATTCCTGCCATATTTGAGTTCTTGCCTTGGTTTCCCTCAGGGGACTGTGACCCAGAATATGTGAGCGAAATAAACCCTTTCTTCCATAAGCTGCTTTTGGTCATGATTCATTTCAGCAATAGAAACTCAGACTAAGACAGCTATAAAGAGGCCATGATGAAACTGTATATGCAAATCTTAAACATAAAAGAAAGAAAATGAATAAAACAAGCATTCTGTTGGATCGTTTCCCAGCTGCGGCTGGTGTGCTTATTGAGCACACATAAGGAAGTTTGGACTAACCAACTTGTAGTATTAGCTGGTTTAAATGTCTAGATGTGGGGTGAGTGTGGCAGGGCATACATAACCCATCAGACCCTAGGATGATGGTTCTTAACCTCTGGGTCTTGACCTCTTTGAGGGTCCCATATCAGACGCCTTAGTTAGGGTTGCTATTGCTGTGAAGAGACCCCATAAGCATGGCACTCTTATGAAGGAAAAGCATTTCATTGGGGTGGCTTGCATTTCAGAGGTTAAGCTCATTAGCATCATGGTGGGACATCGTGGCGTGCAGGTAGACATGGTGCTGGACAGGGAGCTGAGTTTAGCATTTTGCGTAGACAACAGGAAGTGGTCTAACTCACTAGGGATGTCACTAGGGGACGTCAAAGCTCATCCCCGTAGTGACACACTTCCTCCAACAAGGCCACACCTACTCCAACAAAACCACACCTCCTAGTAGTGCCACTCCTTTTGGGGGCTGTTTTCTTTCAAACCATCACATTGGATATCCTGCATATCAGATATTTACAACACGACTCATAACAGTAACAAAATTACATTTACAAAGTAGCAACAAAATAATTTTATGGTTGGGGGTCCCACAATGTAAGGAACTGCACTAAAGGATCCCAGCACTAGGAAGGTCGAGAACCGCTGGACTAGGAGCATCTGCACCTGCAAACACGGAGTCAAGGCTTGACACACAGTAAGAGCCTGAAAAGTTTTCTTTTGGCTGGAGAGATGACTCAGCAGTGAAGAGCCCTGGCTGCTCTAGCAGAGAACCAGGGTTTACTTCCCAACACCCACACGGCGGCTCCCAATTAGCTGTAACTCCAGTTCCACGTCATTTGAGATCCTCTTCTGCACTTACACACTTACACATATGCAGGCAAAACACCTCATACACAGACACAGTTAAAACAAGCTACCTACACCAGGCGATGGTGGCGCACACCTTTAATCCCAGCGCTTGGGAGGCAGAGGCAGGCGGATCTCTGTGAGTTCGAGGCCAGCCTGGTCTACAAGAGCTAGTTCCAGGACAGGCTCGAAAGCCACAGAGAAACCCTATCTCGAAAAACCAAAAAATAAAAAAATTCAAAACCAAAACCCAAAACAAAAATGAAGTTACCTATGGATATCATAACTAATTCTTACCTCCCATGTCAGTTACCTGAAACACTTTGCTTCTAAGCTGTGGGGAGGGACACTAGTGTCTTACAGGTGGCAAGGGCCCTTCTATCACTGAGCTAAACCTCCACTCCTCAGCTCCAGCCCCAAAATACCTTATTTTCTTTTCCCTGTTTCCTTTTCCTTCTTCCTCCTCTCCTGTCTTCTTCCCCCCACCCTACTTCTTCTTGTACCCAGGCTGGCCTTGAATTCACTGTAGAGCTGAACTGAACTCCCAATTCTCCGGTCTTTCCCTCTCACATTCTGGGGTTATAGGTGTGTTTGCCATTGTGTCTGGCTCTCCAAAGTTACTCTTATTTATTGGCCGGGGTTTCGATGCTAAAACACAGGATCTCATTTTGTAGCTCAGGCTGGCCTTGAACCTTCGGTAATTATCTTTTCTAGAGCTGCTGGTATCATACACCTGAGAATATTAGTATGCACTCGTGTGCTTTTTGTTGAGTATGTCAATGTGGCACCACTTTCTGTCATCCAGAAAGGTTTTGGTGACCCTTTCTTGCCCAGCGTCTTGGGTACTGGTTTGGAGCAAGGTCTGGTTTTTGTTGTTTGAGGCAGGATTTCTCCATGTAGACTAGACTGGCTTCAGAACTCCACCTGCCTCTGCCTCTCGAGTGCTGGGGTTCAGGGTGTGCGCCAACAAGCGCGGCTATACGGATTGGTTTTGTTAGATTTGTATTTTTAAAGCATCTTTCCGGTTGAGAAAAAGATAACCAGGCCTGAAGCGCAGACTTGTCTCCTAGCAACCAGAACTCCCTGAGGGGCCTGCGGTTGGCTTGCTTAAGAAGGAGGTCCCGCCCCCTCAAAGCTCTACTCCGCTCCTCTCCCCTCACTGGCTGGAGGCAGCAGGAGACCCCGCCCACCTCCTGGCCACGCCCCTCTCCGGAGCCTCGTGTAGCTCCGTACCCCTCCGGGGCGGGCACAGGCTTCTTATTGGTCAGTTCTCCGGAAGCTGAGGAACCTCAGCTAGTTGCGCGTGAATGGTGCGTGGCTGCCGCTGCCGCTGCCGCTGCCGCGCGTGGGGCACGCGGAGCGGTGCGGGGAAGCTCAGGATTTGGGGGGTGGGTGGCGGTCCTCAGCTTCCTCCGGGGCCGGAGAGTAGCGTCCGCAAGCGGCACCGCAGGCTCTCCCGCGCGGCCCGGCTGCCGGCTTGGCTTGTCAGGCTGAGCGGGCACCGAAGCGGCTTGGGGACCTCCACCGCTCGCAGGCCCCGGTGCTTGACAGGCTCTCGGGTTCCCAGAGCCCCGGCGCAGGATGTTCGTCCTGGTGGAGATGGTGGACACCGTGCGCATACCGCCGTGGCAGTTTGAGCGGAAGCTCAACGACTCCGTTGCCGAGGAGCTGAACAAGAAATTGGCTAATAAGGTACTGGGCCCTGGGCTGGCGTGCGGGGTCCGATCCCGCCCCCTGCTAGCCTGGCTGACGCCTGGTTCAGCTTTAGCCTAGCCTTGGACACTTAAGTAACTTCATGTCGGGGTCTCCTTTCCTCTTCTTTCCTCTGAGCCAGGCTTGGATGTTAGAGGTACCCCAAGTAGTAAATGGGCCGGGCGAGGTAGCGCACACCCGTGGTCCCAGCTTCTTGGGTTTGTTGAGGCTTGCGAGATCGTGAGTTCGGGGCCAAAGTGAGCAACTCTGTAAGCCCCTGTCCCAAACAAATTAAAAAGCGTCGGGGTGTCGAACAGTGCTTAAATTTGCTTGGCCTTTGCGGGACTGTTGATTCCAGTCTTAGTATGGCCAGAAAAGAAACAACGGAGATACCACGCTCAAAATGAGTTTGTAAAAAGCGAGATTCCACATCCGGTTACTGTGCCGCCTCAGCCAAGTCACTGTCTCTGGGCCTCAGTTTTTATTAAAACGGGGATAATTGCTTTTCTCTCAACTGTTCATTGGGGTAGCTCTAGTAGTCCGAAGTTGTCGGGAGGTTTTGTCTATTCATTCTTTTTTTTTTAAATATATTTATTTATTTATTTATTTATTTATTTATTTATTNTATTATGCATACAATATTCTGTCTGTGTGCATGTCTGCAGGCCAGAAGAGGGCACCAGACTTCTTTACAGATGGTTGTGAGCCACCATGTGGTTGCTGGGGAATTGAACTCAGGACCTTTGGAAGAGCAGGCAATGCTCTTAACCACTGAGCCATCTCTCCAGCCCTGTCTATTCATTCTTAAATCGGTGTTTTTCACACCTGCTGTGGGCCTTTCTGCTCTCCTGTGGTGACTGCTTAGCCATTCTTTTCATGTCGTCTCTCTTCACACTTACCACAGTTATTTTCTTGTTTATTTAAGTTTTTTTAAATATTTATTTATTATGTATACAATGTTCTGTCTGTGTGTATGCCTGCAGGCCAGAAGAGGGCACCATACCTCATTTCAGATGGTTGTGAGCCACCATGTGGTTGGTGAGAATTGAACTCAGGACCTTTGGAAGAGCAAATAAAATCAATGGAAATAGGCAAATTCCCTAATTTGTATGAGTTGCTTACTTTGCCTTTTTTTGTTTGTTTTTTGTTTTTTTTTTTTTTTTTTTTTTTTTTTTTTGAGACTGGGTTTCTCTGTAGCTTTGGAGGCTGGCCTGGAACTCACAGAGATCCTGCTGCCTCTGCCACCCAAGTCTGGGATTAAAGGCGTGTGCCACCACCACCCAGCCAGATTTTACATTTTTTATCTTTGTGTATACCTGTGTGTGCCACAGCCCACAGAAGGTCAGAGGACAGTTTATGGATCCTTCCACCGTGTGGGTCACTGGGATTGAAATCAGCTGTTAGGCTTGGAGGTCTGGTGGCTTTCCCAGCTGAGCCTTGGTTACTGTGTTTCTCTTTCCATGGATACAGGGGTCTTCTCTGACTTATTCCTTTAACTATCTCCAACACTTAGCCAGGGCCCGTTAGCTGGGGGGGGGGGAGGTGGATACAGAGGCTCTGGCCCTGTGGTGCACAGAGAAGGGAAGGAAAGTCTTGACTGGCAGGGTCTCACACCACAGGAAGGGCAGGCATTCACACACCTGGGGAACAGGAGAAGCCAAGTGGAGGCTCTATGGTGAGGGTTGGAGCAGGCTGGGTATGAGGAGCTGTGCAGGCAGAATCATGAGCACGCGCAGAGGCCCTGAGGAAGGAGGGGTTGGTGGCCTCTCACAGGGCACCAAGGAAGCTGGCGTGGCTGCAACAGTGAGGGAGGACACTGTAGGAGACGGTATTCGGAGAGGTGGGGGCAGAAAGAGCAAGACTGGCTGGCTTTCTATAGGAGACAGGTGATCCCTCTACGGGAGGCTGAGGTGGGGAGGAGGCATGCATACAAGCCTGAGGCCTGGCCACTGGGGGAGCGAATACACAGACTCTTGACTTATTTTGGTTTGGCCTTGCAGTCAGAGAGGCCTGCCTGCCTCTGCTGTGCAGGTGTTAATATTAAAGGCACGTGCCGTTGTCTCAGTCAAGTTCAGTTGCCATGGAGAGATACTGTGACTAAGGCAGCTTCTGGAGGTTTAGTCTGTTATCAAGGCGGGGCACACCTGGTGCTGGAGCATCAGCTGAGCCTACCTTTAGATCCACAGACCAAGAGAACAGTAGTCTCAAAGCCCACCCCAGTGGCACACTTCCTTCAGCAAGGCCACACCTCCTGATCCTTCTGAAAATAGTGCCTCTCCCTGATGCCTCAGCATTCAAATCCATGGAGACCATTCTTATCCAACCCCCCACAGCCACCATATCCAGGGATTCTTTTGTTAAATTTTTTTCCCTGAAATTCATGCAGACTGCCCTCCCTCCCCCTCCTTCTCCCTCCAGAGGGAGAGAGCAGATCATCAGCCGCGAGAGGCAGCAGCAGAAAGGCGGCAGCCCGAGCTGCCTCACCCTCAGGAGGGAACCACATCTTGTCCTCGTGGTCGCGGGTGCCCCACACAGTCAGAGAAGCCTCTCCAGTAACAGACTATAGAGATGTTCCCTGATGGTGCACGCCTTTAATCCCAGCACTCAGGAGGCAGAGGCAAGAGGATCTCTGTGAGTTTGAGGCCAACCTGGTCTACGGAGTGAGTTCCAGGACAGCCAGGGCTACACAGAGAAACCCTGTCTCGAAGAACTAAAAAAGGAAAAGAAATCCCCGAAAGTGTAGTCTTCATTAATTTTTTTAATTCCATGTATTTTGCATGTGGGTATACATATCACAGCACGTAGGTGTAGGTGAGGACAGCTGTGAGGAGATGGTGAGTCTCCTATGTGGTCCTGGGCTGCAGCTTAAGTCCTCTGGATTGGTGGCAAGCACCTTGACTGCTGAACCCTTTTGCCAATTCCACCTCCCCACTTATTTTTGAGGCAGGGTCTCATGGGACCTGAACCAGGATGGCTCTGCCTCCACCTCTCAAGTCGCTATACCTGGCTGAGGCCAGGTCACTGACCCCTGTGAGAGGTGCCCCCACAGAAGAGCTCACCGGGGAGCTCTGCCCCAGCTCTGAAGTGCTCTGCTGCCTCTGAGTCCCTGCCAGCTCTGGTGAGGTGTGTGATTTAGAGGGTGGCGGATGTGCAGACACCGAGACAAGAATACCAGAGTGTGGGCTTGGGGGGTGTGGGGCTCTCTCTCCTGAAGGGCTTGACCACATAGCCCTGTGAGAGCCTCGACTGTGTGTATGAGGTGGTCTGAGTGTGGCAGGGTTCTTGTTTATTGTCTGTGATTTGGAGCATAGCCTTTAAGGTACTGGGAAATAGAGACTTGAGCAAGCAAGGCTTCCCACTGCCAGTCCTCACAGTGGTGACAATTTGGTCATTTGTGGTCTCTGAACCACCAGGAGACTTCATGTCCACCCTGCTCACTTAATAACGCTTCAGCTGGGGTCTTTTTTCTTTGGGGGGGGGGTTGGTTTGAGACAGGGTTTCTCTCTAGTCCTGGCTGTCCTCAAACTTGCTCTGTAGACCAGACTGGCCTCAGACTGCCTGCCTCTACCTCGAGAGTGCTGGAATTAAGGCATGTGCCATGATGTCCCATTTTTGAACATGGGAAAACTGAGGCTCAGAAAGGCAAAGCAGTGTCCTTGGTGGTCCCATAGTGAGGTGGAGTGGCTGGTCGTTCCCGCCCTGCTCTTTCCAGAGTTCTGCGTCCTGAGGTCCCTAACATTCAGCTCCTGCAGAGTCTTAGCTCACACCCCTCTAGAACAAGGGGAACTCGAAGCTCGCTTATAAGGAAGAGGGTTTTGGAGATGCTGGACCCCGGGGTCACTGTATGTATGCACGTGTGTGCACAGGTCGTATACAACGTGGGACTTTGCATCTGTCTGTTTGATATCACCAAGCTGGAAGATGCCTATGTATTCCCAGGGGACGGAGCCTCACATACCAAAGGTGGGTGACTTCTCTTCCTAGGGTGCCATATTTCTTGGGGCTCACTTTTCTGTAGCAAAAGATCAAGTTGTCATGCCTTTTGGGGTGGCAGGAGACCTGGACCCCAGCCTAATTCTGCTAGGAATTTACTTCTGTGACCATGGGTACTCTTGTCCCCTCTGGGCCTCAGTTTCCTTTCCTGTCAGACAGCAGTGTGGATGGGGAGAGTCTCAAGGCTGCTACGGTTTTGAGATTGGGATTGTGGTTCGACCTTCGGGTCCCTTGGGTTCCATCCAGTGCCCCCAATCCTTGCCCAGCCCTCAGGCCACTCATTGCTTCATGAGTGTGGTGAGGCCTGCTAGGCAAGGACCCTGAGCAGAGAGCAGAAGGTGAGGGTAGAGTGGCCTAGTGAGGTCTGGGGACCTGGAGGGGCAGGTAGGCCACAGCAATTAAAACTGGGCTCAGCGAGTGGCTCAGGGGTAAAAGTGCTTGCTGTACAAATCTAGAGACCTGAGTTTGATACCCAGAACTCACTAGAAGATGGAAGGAGAGACCTGACTGCACACAGTTTTCCTCTGATCTCCACATGGGGGGTGTGTGTCCCTGTGTGTGTCCGTCCTCTGAGCAGGGATGGTGATACGTACCTGTAATCCCAACACTTGGGAGGTGGAAGCAGTAGGACCAGGAGTTGCGGGCCAGCCTGGGCTAACAGCAGTAGTAGCTTCTATACCTTAGAACTGACAGGAGGACTAAGACATTTCTATAGCAGAGCTCAAGATGGGGCCTGGGCACCGAGGAAGTGTGGCATTGCTTGTTTCTGTTGGTTCTGGGGGTTCCTTGGGTGGTGCTATTCTGGGCAGGTCTTGGCCAGGGCTGGAGTGTCTGGTGTGGTGGTTTCAAAGGTCTGAAGTTCAGTGCCCAAGTATGTCTTCAGCCTTGCCTAGAGGCCACTGACCAATAGCTGTCACATGGCTAAGACTGAGGAATGGAGAGACAGACTTTCCCCTTATGAGGGAAAGTGTAGCAAAACTGAAAGGGATGTGCATCTGGGGGTGAAAGGGTGGTGGGCGGGACCTGGGGAGGTGGTGGAAGGGTCTGGTCAGCTTAGGTGTCTTCCCTGGAGGATGTAGGGACTCCTAGTCCTGCTTGCATGGTGCCATCAGCAGGACGGCCTGGAGGAACTCTGCACCCTGTCTTCAGGCCCTGGGTCGAATGTGTATCCTCAGCTTGCCCAGACCTTGCAGTGTCAGCCCGGAAATGCGGCAGAGGCAAAGAGCCCTGTGGCAGACACACAAGGCACAGTGGGGAACCTCATCTTTGTCCATGTTGGTCAGCCTCTCAGCCCAGAGACGGGTGGTCGAACATTCCGGAGTGGGCAGAGGCAGCCCGGGGTCTGTGCGGGCATCCTGAGACTAGGGGACGTCTCATGGCAGAGCTCTGCAGAGAGCCCCAGCAAGCAGGCTGTCTTTGTTTGGACTAGGAATTTTCATGAGCAAGCCCAGAGCATGGAAACAGCTATGAGTAGCCCTGTTCTTAGAGAGGAGCTTGGACAAGGGCAAGGCCTCTGTTCTCAGGGAACACTGCTGAGCTGGGCAGGCTCTGTTCTTGGACAAGAGCCTGTTGTCCAAGAGGCAAGTGCTAATAACTTGAGGAATACCAGAAACAAATTAGCTTTAAGGAAATGCTGCCTGTTTTCCCTTGGTGATATCTGACACTTGGTCTCCAGTATTGGTTTGTATTGTCCCCTAGACCCTGCTCACCCTGGGTCTCTTGTTTCACTGAGGGAGCTGTGTAAAGTTTGACCCTTGGAGTAAGTAAGTCCCACAGACCTGTGCTTCTGGCTCTGGTTCCTGGGATGGGGGCCTGTCACACAGTGGGAAGCTCTTGAGGGCCATGAGCACTGCGAGAGCATTGGGCCAAGTCCCGCTTCCTCCTCAGAAGGTCAGCTTGTTAGAGTCTTTCCTCTCCTTTTACCATTTGGGTCCTGGTGATCAAACTCCGGTGGTCAGACTTGGTCACAGCCTCTTTTTCCACTAACCATTTTGCTGGCCCTTCTTTGGAGTCGTGGCTGCTTCAGTGCCTCGTGTGAGTGAATTCAGGAATTTGTTCTTTTCCCAGACACTCCCAAGAGTGTGGAGTACACGTCCCCAGGATGTAGAGTTCGTATAATAGAATACATCTGCTTGTGCCTGCTAAGAGCAAATGATTCAAGTAGTTCCGCCCTCCCTCCGCTGCCCCCTGCTGGGGTGGGAATGGAGTACAGTCCTGGGGTGGAAACCCAGGGCCTCATGTCATTGAGTGTTCCACAACTGGGCCACATCTTCTAGCCCTTGGCTGTTGTCTTTTAAGACGGGGTCTCTCTGTATAGCCCTGGCTGTCCTGTAACAACTCATCATGTAGACCAGGCTAGCCTCAAACTCACAGAGATCTGCTTCCAGGATGCTGGGGTTAAAGGTGTGTGCCACCATGCCCAGCTTCAGCCTTCCTTTTCTTTCTTTCTTTTTTTTTTTTTTTTTTTTGATTTTCGAGACAGGGTTTCTCCGTAGCTTTTTGGTTCCTGTCCTGGAACTAGCTCTTGTAGACCAGGCTGGCCTCGAACTCACAGAGATCCGCCTGCCTCTGCCTCCCGAGTGCTGGGATTAAAGGCCACCACCACCCGGCTCAGCCTTCCTTTTGGAGGCTGATTACTGTGCCGCGTGTGTGTCTGTGTACACCGTACAGTAAAGGTGTGTGTTCATTGTCAGCGCACATGGGCTGCTCACCGCTTAGGCCCTGGGCCCTGCTTTACATGCTGTCCTCTCCTGGTAGGCCTGCGCCAACTAACCTGGCGGAGGCTTTGAGCTGAATGCTAGGTGCTGTGGGGGGCAATGTGTTTTCATCCTGTGGGTAAGCGGCCCATGTCTGCTCCTGCCTGCATTCTGGAAAGTTAGTAGAAGGCTCAGTCACCTTTAGGATGCTTGTCACCTCACGGGGTAGTGTGCAGGAAGGCAGGTGGACAGAGCTGGGCAAGGTAGGCCACTGAAGGAGCCCTGGTAGAAGAAGCCTGTGCTAGGAGCGAGTCTGAGGAAGGCTCATTCAACCTGGTGGCCTCGTCCGGGGAGAGACATCTAGGGTGGCTGTTAACCTGTGGGTCGTGACCCCCTTGGGTCGCATAGCAGATATCCTGTACATCCGATAGTTAATTACGATTCATAAGTTGTAAAATTACAGTTAGGAAGTAGCAGCAAAAATAATTTTATAGTTGGGGTCCGTGTATGAAGAGGTTGCAGTATTAGGAAGGTTGAGCACTGACCTAGAGGCTTCCCGTGACCGAATAGGCAGGGGAGCTGTGTAGTTAGAGTGGCACCCCAGCCTCTGAGCTGCCTCTTCCTCATGTGTTGGAAACGTGGCTGGCCCAGACAGTTCATAGCTGCGCTTGGTTAATGGCAGAGAGCATCTTCCTGTTGGAGGGGTGTGGCTTCTGCTGAGGCCAGCAGCCAGCCTTTCCCTTGGATTCAGGTGAGTGGGGAGCACACAGGACAAGGCCTGAGGACCCCTGAAGACTCCCCAGCTGTGTCTGGCATTTTTAGCATCCTGTCGCAGATTGGCTGTGCTGAAGGTGAGCTTGCTGGGGGACGGGGAGTTTGGAATTGACTTTGGAGTCACTAGTGGTCCAGAATCAAGGTTCAGGTGTGACTTGAGATGAATTTGGAAACCAGCCTTAGTCCAGGGCAGCAGGAGCTGCTGGTCCCTTTGGAGACCAAGCTGTGACCTTGCAGAAGAGAGGGAAGGTCGGTTCTCTGGCTTAGCAGACAGGTGTAGACCTGCAGGAAGACTTGGCGTGGACCATTGGGTAAGTGTGCTGGCAGAGAGGTGGACATAGGCGAATGTGATCAGCCCCAGGCTCCATGGCCACCATGGAGGGTCTGGTGTAACTGACAACAGTGTCCTTTCTTTTCCAGTCCATTTCCGATATGTGGTGTTCCACCCGTTCCTGGACGAAATCCTCATTGGAAAGATCAAAGGCTGCAGCCCAGAGGGTGTGCACGGTAAGGGAGGGTGACTGCTGGGGTGGGTGTGTCTGCTGACCAAGTGAGGGTGTCCTGTCCCCTCATCCAGCTGTCAGGTTTCACTCTAAGGCTACAGCTTAGGATCTTAGGGTGGCTACTGAGCAGGCGCACGTGACGGGCGCACAATCCATATGGCTCTCGGTGAGCACTCAGGGTGGAGAACTAGATCCTTGGAGCATTGCCCAGGGCTGCTCAGCACTTGGTGGTGGTATGGTTACAGATATGGGGCTTTGAGGAAGGAGGGGACAGATTGCCCTGGGGACACCTGGGCTGCACTGGGAAAGGGACTTGCAGTGTCCAGCCATCTCTTCTGTTGTCCCTTTGAAGTTCTCATCCCGTGCCATCATGTTCATTTCTTCCAGTCTCTTTGGGGTTCTTCGATGACATTCTCATCCCCCCCGAGTCACTGCAGCAGCCTGCCAAATTGTATCCTCTCAAGGTTAATGGGGCAGCTGACATCCGCGCTCCTGTGGTGACCCTGGGCTCTGTGATCTGCCACTGCTGGTGTGAAGCACCTGGTCCCCTGCTCCACTCTGATCTGCAGGAGTCATTTCAGAGATCCTTCCCCTAAGGAGCTGGAGTGCAGAGCCCCTGTGCTCTTCCTACATCTGGGCTGTTTTTAATGGGACAGTCAGTGGTCTTGGGAGAGGCTCGGCTGGCTTGTCACAACTGTATTCAGAGCTCCCAGCAGTCGCCTGACATGGAGGATGCAGTGAGCCACTAGAGGGCAGTGTGGCTCTGTAGGCTGTGGGGAAGCACAGATAGCCTCTGCTCACTCCCAGGCCTCTGCAGGGCAGGGGTAGGGACTGAATTGTCAGCAAATCTAGCCTAGCCTGGTTTTCCTTCTTAGGCAGGTACCTTTTAAACCTACCTCATTTTCTGGAGACCAGGGGAGCCACCTTCCTGTCAAACTAGTTAAGGCTTGAATGAGGCGTGTGGGGCGCTGGGTCATTCTCATCTCTAGACTTGGGTCCTGGCACAACTAGCTCCTCTCCAAGGAATAGCAGCACCTTTCCCTGGGATTCTCAGCCTGGAGTTGGCTCTAACTCGGGTAAGTACTTTCGAGGACCCTCTGCCTCCTGAACCTGCAGAGCGTGGTTGTGGCCTTGACCTTGGTCTCCAGTGACGAGGCGGAACAAGTCTGGGTGTGGGAGTATGAGACCGAGGAAGGAGCTCATGACCTGTACATGGACACTGGTGAGGAGATCCGCTTCAGGGTAGTGGATGAGAGCTTTGTGGACACGTCCCCCACAGGACCCAGCTCAGCTGAGGCTGCCTCTTCCAGCGAGGAGCTGCCAAAGAAGGAAGCGCCGTACACGCTTGTGGTAAGCTGATGGGGGGTTGCTTTCTTTCTTCCTTTTGGGGGGGGGCACTGAGACAGGGTTTCTCTGTGTATGTCTGGAACTAGCTCTTGTAGACCAGGCTGGCCTCAAACTCAGATCTGCCTGCCTCTCAAGTGCTGGGATTAAAGATGCGCACCACCACATCTGGCAAGGAGGCTGCTTTCTTGGAGTTCCACTTCTAGAACCCCCTCCTTAGCAGGTCAGATGTCTTATGAGTGTCATCTGTCACTTCTTAGCCTGCTTTTGTGGACTGGGGCTGAGGTGACAATGTTGCTGTGGTGTTGGGCAGGCTAGATGGGAGTATGTCCTATGCCCCCAGAGGGACAGCTCAGACTGGATTATGTCATGGGGATCTTTAAGGGAAGGAAAGAAAACCACGGAGGGGTTAGAGGGGTTAAAGTGGAGACTAGAGCAGGGTTCCAGGGAAAAGGGAGTCTCGGGTTCCTCCCTCGGTGTGACTTTGGGAGGCTCAGAAAGACAGGTCTAGGGCTGAGGAAGGATTACCTGATCCCAGTTGAGGCCATGGGGCCAATAAGCTAGCTTTTTCCTAAGAACCTGGAGAGCTGGGGCAGGAGTGACACTGTGGTTCCCAGTCTCTCCACAGCCTCCTGACTGTTAGGACTCCCGACCTTCCTTTTGCCTGTGCTGGGCCTGCCAGGTGCTACAGGGGGCGGTCACTGGGCCTCCTGTCCTGGGCAGTGCAGCTGAACCACCGGTGATACGTGTCTGTTTTTCGCTAACAGGGATCTATCAGTGAGCCAGGCCTGGGCCTTCTCTCCTGGTGGACCAGCAATTAGCCCTGGAGCTTAACAGTGACTGGCCAGCCTGAAGACCCTGCCCAGACCCGACAAAGTGGAGCAGATGCAGATTCTGAGGAGTGCTGCCCAGAGCCAGGCTGGGTGGAACCAGGAGTGCCACCCACTTGTCTTCCCGAGCTCTGGGTCTCTGCCTTCTGGAGCCACCCTGAAGTCCTCTGCACTCGATTGCTTTTGTTTTCCTGAGTCTCATGGATCCAGGCTGGCTTCTCACTTGCCGTGCAGCATAGAGTAGCCTTGAGTTTCTGATCCTCCAGCCTCTACCTCTTGAGTGCTGCGATTGCACGTGTGCACCCCCACGTTGAGTTTCTGTGGTAGGATGGAGCCAGGGCTGTGTGCACACCAGGCAGGCACTCTACCAACTTCCCCAGCACAAGGACTGGTTTATTTCTTCAGTGCTGAGGATGGAACCCAGGACCTCTTCCATGTGAGGCAGGTTATTGTACTACTAGGATGCAATAGGATGAGCTAGGCCCGTCCTATCCTTTCCTGTGAACTTCTGGTTTTCAGTGACAGAAGAAAATTTAATAAATAATGACAGCAGCAGTAACTCTCCTTTCAATAGCTGGCATGATCTAAGGTCACCAAATTGACGACCTGGGACAGCATTCCCAAGCTCGACAGTTGTAGGACTTGGGCATTTATGAGGGCAGGCTGCCTCTGCTGAGCTTGGTGCTCTGTAGTAGAGGTAGAGGCACCAGACTTCTCCTGGATTACCGTCACCTGTGGAAGGAGTGGCCGCCGCCCCCCCACGGCCCTCCCCCCCCCCTCCCCCCCCCCCCCCCCCCCCCCCCCCCCCCCGGTGAGCCAAACCAACTCCTTGCCTAGGAAATGGAGGCTGTGGGATTACTGTCCTAGGGCTACCTTATAAGAAGCCTGGTGTTGCTGCCGCCTCAGCTGGGACAAGTATCATGGGGTTTGTGATGCCCCACGTCTCGGCAAATGACTGCCAAGCCCTGCTGTCCTTTTCTCCAATGGCACTGAGACACTTGTGTAATAAATCCTATTTTGTGACAGACCTCCTTGGCCTGCCTGGGTCTTCCCATCTGATGCTGCCTAAGGAAGAGGCCCCACCCTTCTGCAGAGGCGAGGGTTGGCAAAGGGCATTAGTTTTCAGGCTGCTTTATCTAGTTCAGGCTGGACTTGGGAGGCAGAGGCAGGTGGCTCTCCAAGTAAAAGTACTGGGCGCTGGGATTTAAGATAGGTGCTGCACCTCCTCTCAGGGTAGTTAAAGACCAGATCTAGTGCATCAGTCCCCAGGGAACAGAGGAGGTAGCTCTGGGTCCCTGAAGCTCTAGCCGACTCCAGTTATCCCAACTTTGCTTTAATAACCCAGGCCTGGTGAGGCCTCTGCTGACCTTGGCTTAAGTCTCCCTGAGTGCAAGCTGATAGTCGCAGATACCAACCACTCTCACACAGAACAGTCAATGGATTTGGATTTTTTTTTTTTTTTTGTAAGAACAGAAGGTTCTCTAAAATCCTTCAGCCACCAGTGAAATGATCAGGCAGGATAAAACTTCTTTAGGAGTGCTGTCATTAAAAATAAATACAGGTGCATGGGCTGTTGAAGGACGAATCAAACTGAAAAGGAAGGCCGGGGCTGGGACATAATCTTTAGTGCCCTCCATGGTGGCTCGCTCAGTGGGCTGAGGATGAGGAGAGCAGGAAGCAGGTCCGGTCACCATCTTAGAGCTGGAGGCCACGCTGGACAGACCAGCTGACTGATGATGCACATGGACCTGTACTTTTGACACCCAGCAGGGTCTAGAGGGACACGACAGCCCGCCTGGACCTTCCTTATTGCTGCAGCTCCTTCATCCTGTTTAGGGCACTGCCTGCACGGAACCACTCGATCTGAGTCTCGTTGAAGGTGTGGTTCAGGAGGATGGTTTCCTGGGTCCCATTAGGGTGCTTGATGATGCATTTCAGAGGCTGCAAAGGAAAGACACATGTGGGTGGGGAGTGGAGGGTGCTCCTAGGAACACAGTCCTCACTGGGCACTGGGAAGGCCCAAGGCATTGCATCAGGCAAGCTATTTGGGCACTGAGTGCCAGGCCAGGGGTAATGGGTCTCAGCTGGGTGGAACATGGATTTCTAAGAGCCGTAAATATGGCATGGCTGGTTTTAGTAGGACAAGAAGCAAGGGACTATCCAACCCCAACTGCCTAAGAGATCCCCAGTCTGCCTGCCCTCCTTCCTAGCCCCCTGACCTTGCCAGGGGCAAAGTCCTTCAGGCCTTGAATGGTCAGCTTGTCCACTGGATGGATCTTGTTGTAGTCAGAGGGGTCGGCAAAGGTGAGGGGCAGCAAGCCCTGCTTCTTTAGATTGGTTTCTGGAAGACAAAGATGAAGTCAAAAAGTGTGGGTCCTCTGCCCAGGGACCCTAACTAGCTGAGGAGTATTCTCTAGAACACCAGGAGACAGACCCTCAACCTAGTCCTGCTGGGGATAAACAGGCAGTGACTATAGTGCCCAAGTCCTCTGGGTCCCAGCTCTTCTTTCCCCAGTAGCACTCCAGGCAGGCTTGGATTAGTGCCTTGGATTTCAACCGACAAGCTTAGAACCAATGCCAGTGTTGGTGGGGGGCTACGAGCATCAGATTCGGTAGGTGGGGGCAGGCTACGTGGAATATGGGAGCATGGACTCCAGGCCCAAGTTGTCTATTGACAGTAGGTGACCTAGGACCTTGAGTGAGGAGCAGCACCCAAGGGTCTGGCTCACCGTGGATCCTGGCGAAGCTCTTGGTGATGATGGCCCGGCCCCCGAGGTGGCGAGGCTCCAATGCTGCGTGTTCCCGGCTGGAGCCTTCACCATAGTTCTCGTCTCCGATCACTACCCACCTGATGCCATGTTTCTGTCAGGTAATGGGGACACAGTGCTGAGGGTGCTGCCTGTACCTGCCTAACCTTGGGCAAGTTGACGTTCAGAATCGGGAGGGGGCAGTTCCTTTGCTATTGTTCACGAGGAGCAGCTGGACTTGAAATGAATTAGGCCAAATAAGGCCCCAAGGGAGCAGGCAGTGGACAAGGAAGCAGCTAGCCTTCAGGGAGCAGTACAGAGGCAGGGTGGGCGGAGGCTCCATTTTTGAGAGCCAAGCCGTGGCTGCACAGTGGGAGCAGGAGACTCACTAGGGCCTTGGAGGCACCAAAGGGCCATTTAGTTGTACAGTCAATAGTATGGACTTGAGGAGACTACAGTTCCTTAAGCACCTGCACTGTCCCAGTCAGCCACAAGGAGGTGCCAGATGACCCTCACACTACCCTAGAACAGTCTAGACCTTCCAAGAAGTGGACCAGGGTTGAAGAAATGGCTCCACAGTAAAGAGCACCTGTGGCTCTTTCAGAGGAACCAGGTTCTAATCCTAGCACCCACGCAGCAGTCACAACCATATCTAACTCCAATTCTAAGGGGTGGGGGTAGGAGTCCTCTTCTAGCCTCTGAGGACACCAGACATGCACATGGTAAACACATGCAGGCAAAACCCATATATACAAAAAGTAGAGTGGCAGTGCTGGCCCACGGCTTTAATCCCAGCACTCAGGAGGCAGAGGCAGGCGGATCTCCAGGCCATCTGGTCTACAGGACGAGTTCCAAGACAGCCAGAGTTTCAAAGAAACAAAATGAGGTGGAAACCCTGGCTCAGGCCTGGGTTCTGGGAAACCACCTGTGGCTTTTCTGAGCTTCCCTTTGTTTCCTTCAACCTCTCCGGTCTGGGTCAAACACCTGCTGTGATTCCTGACTCCAGGGCAGGGTCTCTTGGGTGTTAGGAGAGCAATTTTCTCCAGGTATGTCTTACCCCACTCCCTCTGCCCCCTCCCCTCCCAGCCCTCAGGAGAGCGGCTGCCAACACCGTTTCCACCAAACAATGCTGGCCTACCTTGTAGTATCGAGCAGTGTCAGGGACAGGACCAAACTCCTGGGTGACGGCATTGCGCACGGAGTTGGCCTTGCCGTTCTCAATGTTGATGGCACCGATGAGTAGGTTATTCGAGATGTTGTCCAGATGTCCACGGAACTTGAGCCAGGGGCCAGCAGCAGAAATGTGGTCGGTGGTGCACTTCCCTTTGACCTTGCGTGGGTGAACAGAGAAGACAGGCCAGGTTAGACCTGAGTACTGGGTGAAGGGAGAAGCCTTCCAGAGACATGCAACAGTGACCAGAACTATGAGGGTAGATGAGGGTTATGTCTGGCCTAGAACCTGTTGTCTGTGGAGTGAGTCCTGGTGTTCCCATGCCCACTTGGTTCAGGTAAGACCATCACCCACCCCATCAAAAGCTCCAGTGTGCTTTCTCCATGACAGGATACTCTCTCCCGGGATAGGTTAGACATGGAGGACAGATGCAGCTGTTTGCTTATTCAGCTAAGCTGCCTACGGTGGGAGATCAGCGACTCCACACCAGACACAGGAGCAAGGAGTCATGTCTGGGGCCTGGCTCACACAAGCTAAATACTGGCTGTCACAGGCGTGCCTGGACACCCCTTAGTAAGCCCATAAATTATTGTCAGACATGAGTCTGAGGCCTTGACCACACTAGAAAGGCCAAGCTCCCGAACAGTCCCTATCTGGTAATGACCCATAGGAATGCTGTGGAGTCTTGTGAGTCTAGAGCTGAGCTAAGTCACACGTGATGCATTCACCACACCACATGGCTGAGGTCTGTCCAGCCCAGAGCCATGGAGAAGGGGAAACTACAGGCTGCTGTGATCTCTTTCCCCTTGCAACCAGCCTCTCTGCTACCATGGGGTCAGTCATGCCCAATGCTTGTGGCATGCTCGTGCCAACCTTGATGAGGATCTGCAGGTCCTCCAGGTCTTTGCCGTCCCACTTGTCAAAAGGCTCCAAGAGCTGTAGGCGCTGGCTGGTAGGGCTCACGTCCACTCGCTGCCCACTGCTGTCCTTGGGGGGGTGCTGGTAGGTATCCTGCCCTGGGTCAAAGTCCTACAGAAGGGATGGAGACACACTGGGCACTGAGTCCTTAATCCCCACATGGATGTCTCCTAGATCACAAGCTTCCCTGGCCCCAAACCTCACTCGTTCTCAGTAACAGTGTTACCCCCCCCCCCCCCCGCCCCCCATGAGCCCAGGCAGCTAGGCTAAGGCGGGCCTATGGTCAGCCAACCACACAAAATGGTAGCATCTGCTCACCGATCTGGGAAGCTCATCTGCATCTGGAGCCTCCAGCTTGAACTTCTTGCCATCCTTGCCTGTCAAGAAGTCAGTTTCTGGGTTGAACTTAAGGGTTCCTGCAATGGCCAGGGCTGTGACAATCTGAAATGGAGGAGTCCAGTTTGCTGGTTAGCACCAGACACCCACACCTACCTACATATGCTCTTCTTTTTTAAAATTGTTTTTATTATTGTGTGTGAATGTGTGTATGGTATGCATGTGTGCATATGGGTGCCAAAACATAGATGTTGGGGTCAGAAAACAACTCTGTGTGGTTGATTATCTCCCATCTTTATAGGGCAGGGATGAGGTGTGTGTTTCTGGACATTGAACTCAGGTCTCCGGGGTTATGTGTAGCACGCACTTTCGTCTGCTGAGTC